ATGTGTGTGCATATATATATATATATATATATATGTGTGTGTGTGTGTATGTGTGTGTGTGTGTCCATATAATATATATATTTAACTATATCACGTGATGCATTAACAATTCAAAAAACAGCTACATAAAATATTTTTAAATCAATCTATGAAAATGTTCTCTTCACCAAAATTTTTCTTCCAAGCCACATCTTCTAACCTATGTTTTAATTGAAATTTTAATCAAAGGTTTACAAATTTGCTATTTGTGATATTTTTAATTTTTATTTCAAGCATTCTGACATTCATTTTAAATCATTATTTCATATCTGATCTATCACATTTTTTACAATTCATTTACTATTTCGGATAAATTATACAAAGTAGAGTTTCAGTCTTCATCAGCTACTTCTGCACAAGGATTTTGGAGGAAAAGAATAGAAATGATCACATCTCTGTAGCTCATTTGGGAGAACACTGTTTAAATTTTGTCTTAATGGAAGGCTAAAATTAATCGTGATTTCCCATCAAATGTATAGGGATTTTGCAGTGTAGTTCATAATAGTGTTTAATTTCTCTAGAGAACAAGATAAGATAAACAAGTCACTGACAGTGTTTATATATAAATATGGCAGATGGTGTGAGACTGAGGTTGGTTATTAATTCTGCTGACTTTAATTTCATGGTTATAAAACACTGTAAACCTTACTATTTATAAAAGGCAGGGAAGACTCTCCAGTGGGTTTCAGTAGCCAAGAAACCCTCCATAACATTCATCTCTCTAACTGATATTGGGTATCCTCCTAGGGTGCAATATTTAAGATTGTGGATTGATTGCTGGACACATTAAAATTTTCACTGGGATCATTAGGTAGCATTTCTGTCATTGATCTATTATAACCCTGTTAATGAGTTCCATGTGAGTGAAATTTAGTGAATGAAATGATTCTAAGTTTTGCTAGATGAATGTTTAACAATTATTTTAGGCAGTTATATATCTAAAAGATAGCCCAATTTGTCAAAATAATACCTTTATTCTTAGGAAAAGATAAATCATGACACCAAACTAGGCCAAATGCACTTAGAGATAGAATTTCTTAAAACTATAGCATCTTTTGCATCATCAATGTAGATTATATACATTTACATTTAGGCCATAAATCTGCCTAAAATGTCACAAAACCATAGAATTAAAAAGGAGCAAATTCATATTCCAAATTGATTTAAATATCATATTTTATTATGATCATTTATTTCATTAAAAAGCTGTATGCTCAATTTGAATAAAGTTAATTCTCCCAATAAGGACCACTATTATAAACACAGTATTATTTGAAATAATCCAGCTTTTTTCATTTCAACTTTATAATGAATAACACAATTTATTTTATAACCACAAAAGTGAAAAATTTTCACGGACTCTACCTCTATTACTTTTACATTCAGCAGAGGTTGATTTTTCGGTTTCTAAGGTCAGACTTCCATAAATGCTGTATGATAACCCAAGATGGGAGTTGGGGATTAAAACATTTTGAACTAAAAATGTCTTCATTGTATTAAAGTTCAGACTCCTTGAGAATGGGTTTTTTAGTCACAAAACCCTCAGTTGCTTTTCTAGCTTAGTCTGGGCTGCTTCTTCTGGGCCCACCCTGAGAATATTGTTACTAATCTGACACAGTCTGTCTCCTTGCTTTCTACCGATTACTCCAAACATACACCTCAAAGCGTGGCTTCCAAGGAGACAGCTTCTGAACAGCAGCAGCCCTGGGTAGAGAGAGGACTAAGTGGAACTGTGGGAAATACATCTTCTCATCTTTCTCCCTTCCCGTTCAGAGTCTATTGTCACTTGATATGATATCCTGCACTTGATACATTCACTTCTGCAGAAAACTCTCTACTCATACTTGGATTTCCAGGTCTCAAAATGTATGCATATCTATAACAGAGGACAGCGAGGCCTCTCTCAAGTGGGGACTTTATATCATTTTTTTTTTAAGCCTCAAAACCCACCTAGATCATCATCATCAAAGAAATGGCGATTGGGTTATTGGTATGCTTAGGATTCATATTTGCGTTGAATTGAGTCAAAACGAGGAGTGACTTCCCCTCAAAGTTACTAATAAAATTCAACCTAAAATAGATTTATAAATCAATTTTAAGGATTGCATTTTTTGTCCTGTGTTTTGTGAAGTGAGGTGAAATGTGTTTCTCAAAACATGGCCATGAACACTAGGGCCACAGAGTGGCCAAGAAGGGCCCTCAGGTGAGACAAAAATAGGTAAAAACAATAGAAACCGAAGGGGTTGAAAACGGGAAACACAATAGGGGAAATAAGCAAAGCCAGGTATTGAAATGTCTAAGCAGAGGGGTGAACAGAGTGATTGGTTTAAGGACTCTCCTTTGTAAGAATTCAAAATACAGTGGGTCTTAGGGTAATGAAGTATCATTAAAACAATCACCCTTGTAAAGAAGGAATCATTTTCAATATCCTAATGGGTAGCCTAAGGTTTCTGTCCTTTTCCCCCGCTAGTCTATATATAATGTACAACGAACTATCTTATAAAATATAATCGTTTTTCTAATCATGGTTTGAAAAAAAAATGTTTCTATAAGGAAATGATGTGATTAAAAGGTGCAAAAAAAGCTGTTAAAATTCAAGAAAAGTGTTCCCTCTTTCACCCTAATCTATCATATTTTATTAAAGTAGTATAATTGAAATAAATTGGTGCCTTATAAACGCAAAGCAAATTACCACTCATGGGATAAAAATAATGCACCACCCTTAAAGATTTTAATCTCATTTTCATTATTGTCTTTCAGATTATCCAACTCTGTCTAACGTCAAAAGCATTGCATTGCATACAAGAAAACATGCGAAGGAAATAACTCTACGTGGATTTCATTCCCCCTTCAACGGTCAGTTAAAAATCAAACCTCTATACTAGTTTTATTATTTATGCTCTCTAGAAATCCAATAATTTTTTAAAAATTTTTTGTTTCTAGGAGAAGTAATTTATGCTGTCATGTGCATGACAGTCACCTGTGGAATCCTTCTCCTGGTTATGTTCAAGCTGAGGTAACTGGATACAATTCAGAAGGGAAGGAAAGGGCTGGAATTGAATCAGCCCTGTTAAAGCACATTTCACAACGGCAGAGCTCACAAATGGCCGGAGCATGAAAACTTCTCCGTTAAGACCTACTAAATCAGCTTTTAATGTGGGATAGGTTCATGGAAACATTACTCTTTGCCTTTCTATGCCAGGGAAATGTGATCATAAGGGACTTTTTTTTTACATTGCATTTTTACAAGCACATATGTATTGTCCCCCCTAATTAAACTGTTATCAATCATTCCCCCGGTTTTCTTACAAGACCCCAAGTGAGCTTTACTGCATAACTTATTCAAATCACTTGCCGGATTAATCAGTTTACATAAGGGACTTCCTACAGTGTATATTTACCTGAAGATTTACTCTTCATTTCAGTTTTGTATATGCCAATGAACTCTATGCATGTTTTAATATACAATCATTAAAAAAGACATTTAATGAGGCCTCACAGGGTACTGTTAGAAAGACTTATTTCTACTGCCTGATGTTAATTCACTCTTTCCAAATCTTCTTTTTCCTTGGCTGCCTTGTTTGATGCAGTAATGCTCCAGCAGGCATGTGAGATTTAAGATGAGAGACACATCAACCTCTAGGTTTCTAAATGTCTAGGGCTTAAAATTCCTTCCCACTTATTTACCATTTACAAATATATATAAATTGGTGTGCAGTTGTTTGCTTTAATTTTAAAAAATAACATCATATTTAAATATCAGTGATGTTCATTTGCTGATTCATTATACCTATGTGTATCTTTCCATGTAATTTGAGTACCATAAATGTTAATGAAAAGGGGTCACTGGTTAGCTCATTTGGTTGGAGCTGGTGCTGATAACACCAAGGTTGCCGGTTCGATCCCCACATGGGCCAATGTGAGCTGCGCCCTCCCTAAAAGAGTCAGCTATGCCATTGTAGCATGACAGCAATGTGTCACCAATGACCATGGCTGTTCCCCAATAAAATTTAAAAAAATATTAATGAAGAAATATATGTGTGTGCATATATATATATATATATATATATATATATATATAGTATATAATATACAAACACACACATAAAATACATTTATCAGTAAGATTAAGCCTAGAGAGAAGCAGAGATAATGGGCATTTTATTTCTCAGAGGAAGTGACACAGTAAACCATACAAAGCACGGATACATGTTGCTCCTCCAGAAACCTCAGACTAAGACAACCAGGCATATAAAATGAAACACTGAAGCGGGTAGGTATATGGCAATACCAAAGTGCCGGGCACAAGATGAGTGTATGCTCTGCTTATGGGCATTCAAACATAGCTATTATTAAATGCATTGCCAGCTAAATACATCCCTTCATTGGATCCAACTTCTCTAAGCATTTAATTTGATGCTTACCAATATCAGTACCAAAACAGCCTGCTTTTCTCCCAAGGCCTTAAAAATTGTATTTGTATGAAAAGATATTCCTTGGATTCTAAGATACATTTAAAGGCCAAATAACTTAGAGTCAGTTTCAAGGGGGAAAACAGCATTTGGAATTTATTAAATTTTCCTTTATTTGGTTTAAAATATTTGAGAGCAATGTTCAATTACTGGGCCTGCCTAGATATTCTCTCAGACATATTCTTTCAGAGAAGCACGAATGGTTTTCTAAATTAGAAAAATTCTTATTTTAATGGTTCCCAACCTTGATTTCTTAGCCACACATATAATATATAAAGTTCACATCTGCCACATGGGCCCATGGGTTTTTACAGATTACTGTTGTGCCATAGATAAATAAGGTGAGGGCAATGTACCATCCCCTGTGTATCAGCTGTAACTTGACCTCTTTTCTTTCCTGCATAGAAAGGCATATCCTTTTACTGGATGACAACAAGAGTGTTATAGATAAAAACCTTGAATTACTCTAACATGTATTTTAAAGTCAGTTATTCATACTGTTATGTATATTATACTTACTTATAAATTATTTCCAATACAATTTAAAATTGATCCTTACATGTAATCTGAAAGATCCAGACCCAGGTTAAGTAAATGACGAAAGTAAAAGTCATAATAGAAAGAAAGAGCAAAGCAAAGCAAACGCATCATTAACAACAAAACCTGCGTTACCCCACATCTGGAGGTAAATGGTGCTTTCTCAATAGAAGAAGTCTGGATGCCACTCACCTGGTGGTCAGGTATAATCCATGTGTACCCTTCTGCAGTAAAGATTGAGGTTTTTGCATTTGTTTCACGGTATACTAAATTAAAACAGCCCTAAATCTTCAAAGAAATTTGCAGAGAAACCAGTCATTTATAACACAAATATTTGAAAAAACAAAGGGCTCCTTTTCTTTTTGGAAATGGTTACTTGGAAATCACAGTTAAATGCATGATTGATATTTCTTAGAAAGACCATAGATTATTTCATTCTCCTATTGAGACTTTACATTCAGGGACTTGATTTATTTTTCCCCTCCAGGCACAGGATCGATCCAAAAATATAAGCACACATACATTTGTACAACCTTTAAAATGGCATATTGTTAACTTTTACTTTTACTTTTATATAGAACCTCCAGAATATCAAGTCAAACCAGAGATCCTTCACCGATCCAAATACCTTGGAGGACTCATGATTCATTAAGTCATGGATCATTAACAATCACTTCATTTCGAGCAAGTCTTTGTAGCCAGTCAATGGAAGATCCTATTCCTCATCAATAAGGAAAACGCTAAGATGGATTTAATGATACTGGATCATTAAGTATAGTAATGGAAGGTATAATAATATGGCAGCTGTTCGATTTATTTTTGCTTAAGAAAATATTCTAGTATAAATATACACTGGTATCTTTAATGACACTGGTACAGAATTACAAAATTGCCCTTGAAGGCAAAAAGTGTTATAAGTTACAGTCTGCATGATTTATTTCATGATAAATATGAATCCATAAAATGGTAATTAGTTGCATCATAATAGGACATAGTTGGCAGGTTACTTTTTTTGCAATCAGTTTTATAAATTCCCATTAACTTGCCAAAAGGATAATGCTGATATAAATAACCAGTATATTTGTTATTTGTATGTCCATTTTCAAATCATTAGCTAAGTTATTAGCATTGACTTTAAGTTCCTAAATATTTGGTTGGATGATAAGTCTTACAAGTGATATCTTTGGATTTTTTAAACTTTGCATGCTGTTGAACCTCTTTTTATTTTTTCTTTAAAAATTTTTTTTAATTATTAGTTTCAGGTGTACAAAACAATGCACTAGTTATGCTTTTCACCCCTCACAAAGTGACAACCTCCCTGCCCCATCCACCACCCCACCACCCCCGAATTGAACCTCTTTTTGAACTTGATATCTTTATTTCATAGTCATAAAGCTGTAAAGTACCTGCATTGGCTGAAAAATTAATGTACATTATAATAATACATTTTATTAGTGTATTTTATTTTTTCTGTTAATTATGAACTGCAATAATAGTGTAACAACATAACTGCTACTCTCTATAGCTTCTATATTGTTACTTTTGGCTTGGTTTGACATCACAGTGTAATTCTGATTAGAAAGTTTTGGAAAAGATGTTTATTAGTTAAATTTTTGATACATATATGCTTTGCAACTGTTTGTAATCATTATAGTACCAATTGCTAAGAATAAATACGAGTTGTTTTTTATCTATAGTAGCACAGAGGCTCAAATAGTCAACAACCCGAGCATACCAATAATTAGTTGTATATTTACAACTGAAGGTCCACAATTTTCTACCTGTTTGTTCTCATAGCTATTGCTGTTCGCTACACTTCAGATCAAATTGTCTACATTAAATTAAATTTGAAGTTAACATTTGGCTATGTTTACTCAAAGGAATTGGAAAAGCCTTGATTTATCTTTAGAAACATGAAAGAATAATTTGGCGAGTCACAAATATCCCTCAAGGAGTTCTACATATTCCAGTGGCTGCTAACTCTCTAAGTTAATGTGAAGAGAATGTCAGCATTTCCATCTCTAAAACTGTCATTTAATTTAGGTTTGCTCATGCCTGAGAAAACACAAACTATTCTCTGGCAAACTGAGGAAAGAAGTCAGGTTGATTTTTTTTCGTTTTTTCTTTCTTTCTTCTTTTTTTTCAAATTAAATTTATTGGGATGACATTGGTTAGTAAAATTATATAGGTTTCAAGTGTACATTTGTATAACATATCATCTATATATTGCACTGTATGGTCACCACCCAGAGCCAGTTCTCCGTCCATCACCATATATTTGGTTTTAAAAATATGTTTATGCTGAGCAGAGAAGGAGAAGATGGAGTGTGAAGGAGATGGCCTCCTTCAAACCAGAATGTTTTTATCCAAGGCCAGCTAGAATGAATAGGTTGTTGTGAGCAGAATTGCAGAAGCAGAAATCAACATGAAACAGTCAGCTGTTTCTGGAGCAGGGGGTCCAAATTAAGAAAATATGGGACGTAAGACATAAAATGTGTGGCATCCTTCAGTGTCTCAAACATGATGCCAAGGAGTTGAGACACTCGAAAAGTGGTTTTCAAACCCCTTTAGGGCATGGCCTTCATCTTTTACTCTTCTGCTCTGGGAAGCCCTTTCTAACAGCCTTTTCCCACCCAGAAGTCAGGTACTCTTGCTCAGTGCTTCCCCTATCTTAGACTACTATGTGTTACTATCAGTTATTCTTTTCATTACTGTTTTTCTCAGCAAATTATAAGCACTCTCTTTGAATCTGTTGGCTCATCTCTGATTTCCATTCCTTTACACGAAGGGTCTGTTCAATAAAAATTGTTCAATGAGTAGAGTGCTTCATTTGGAAGGCTCTAAGGTGCCAAAAATCACTTGCAACAGAGGAGTGTGCCATCATCAGATTTAAATGAGAAAAGGCATGCTGGCAGAAATGTAAATGATGAACTGAAGCTGGTGGAGACTGAACTCTACACACTTCCTAAAATGTACTGTCATGTTTAGCTAATAAGTGTTGAAAGCCTGCATTCATTCATTTGTTCAACACTTGTTTATGGAGCCACTGTACATGCCAGACACTGTAATATGTACTGGAGATAGAGTGCTGAACAAAGTCCTTTTGAAGGTCCAAAAAACAAACAACCAAAGAAGGCAATTTCTTAAAATGATAGATGCTACTAAGAAATAGAGTTGGAGTGATAGAGTGATGATGTGAAGAGAAATAGTAGTGATGTGAGAGAATGGAATGAACATAAATGTTTCATAAATAGAATGGATGGAGGTTTGGGATTACATATTTACAGAGAATTGATGTAAAGATCATGGTGGGGACAGAGATGAAGAGTAGGCTTCTGATTTATGCCATTAGGTAAATCATGGTGCTACTTAGAAAACTGGCTCATACAGGAGGAGGATTAACTTGAGTGGGGAAAGGCAGCACGCTACTTAACTTCTGATCTGTTTTCACCTTCCTCCACCATTTATACATCCAAGGAGGCTGACCTATGTGGAATACAGGCTCCCTTGTCCTCTGGGTTCCAGCTGGGTTCAGCCGACAGTGAGAAACGGCAGGAGATGGGGGAAGGTATTCCCCTGAATCCCTCCATGAGGGCCTATCTTGAGCTGGCTGTTTCCCATGACAGAAAGTCACTGTTTCCTTCAGGGGCGTTTTCTAGTGAAACTCTTCCTTCTAGATTCCAGTAAACATTTCTCTCCTTTTCCTGAAGGACTAGTAGTGCTGATGGCTCAGCTGTTACTAGTCTTGAGTTCCTGAGTTACTGGATCACTCCTTGTAATTTTCCTACAACTACTCACGCCTGTGTAAAGACTCCCTCAGTCAAACATTCTTAGAGTCATCCATTTTGGATAACTTGTTTATCCTAATTTGAGTATACCACCTGTTTCCTGTTGAGTACCTGACAATGATACTAGTAATTATTTCAGATTTGGACCACATGACTTTCCAACACCAGTGGGATAGCTAGATGGAGTTCTCTATTAGTCAGCTAAGTAAGATCCGAGCTTACAACCATTGCTTTTAGTTTTCCAATATCTTCCTTACATTTCTCTCTCCTCAGATGAGAAAGCAAGTTTATCACCAGAGAGTCACCTGCAACTTCTGGGGGAAAACCATTGGATGAATGGTTGCCAGAACAGACTCTCCTCAGAAGAATTCCACTATTGATGAAATTCCCTGCAGAGTAGTCTGACTATTCCAGTAATGAGCTATTGTGCCTTTAGCTGCTTTTGCATATTTACCCACAGCCTCTTTCCTCAGAATTCTGTCCATAAACTCCCACAGGTGTTCCTGGGCACTAGAAGTCAGCAGAGTGGTACCAGCTGGAACTCAGCAATGTGAATAAAAAAGTCTCTTGGGAGGGGCTTTAAGGCAGAAGGAAGATGGCGTTTGTGGTCATTCGAAAGCTCGGGCTTGTGTCTGTTCCTACTTTTAAATTCCCTATGAGAGTCCTGAAATAGTCATACCTTAAGTTGCCATGTACGGTGAAATGAAACAACTTAAAGAGTAAGTAAAAAAATTTCTTCTTTTTATTTTTGGGAACTATCAAAATTGTGAGCCCTGCAACCAAAGAACAAAAGCTAAGGAATGGCTTCGCTGTTTTAAAGGTAGTGTGAGGTTATCATGTCTCTTCGGTACACTTCCACTGTGATTTTCACGCGGCTTCGTCTGCCTGGTCTGCTCTTTCACACTTTGCTTCTCCTGGGAACTCTGTTAGTGCCCCTAACACCTCAATAATACAGGAAGAGTTTGGAAATAGGTTTTAAGAGGTTTGACATGGTGAAATAGTTGATTGTAATATAAAGATTTATTTAACACTTCCATGTTTGTATTGAACCTTGATGGAAGGGGGTTACGTGGTTAGGTGTGAGCAGAACTTGAAGTCCTGAGCATTATTGGTGGCAGTCTTGAAATGCACAAGGATGGTTTACTGTACAAATCATATGGCATGGTCTACCCCATTGCATTTGTTCTTATTTCAGTCACACAACTAGGTAATAAAAAAGCTCAAAATATAGTTTTACATATTCGTCTGATTCTGTAAATTTCTTTCATCACTGGTATTAATCCATGTTCATTTTTTCTTCCTCCTATCTTTTTTATTTATTTTTTCTTTTAAATTCTGGTTTCATGAAGGACAGGAGGGGAAGAGTGCAAGAATGGGGAAATCAGCAACAGGCAAAAAGTGGAATACTGTTAAAACAGCTAACAAAGAGACACTGCTCAAAGAAGCATTTAGATTGACTTTTTAGTTGCTCCATATCTCATTCTCTTTCACAAATGCATTTCAATGGAAATATCTTATAAAGTAAAATATTTGCATTCTTAATCTCATAAGGTGTTAGCGTGAAGACAATTTAGACATCAAAGGTGAATGCAGTTTGGGCTGGCCGAGAGGCTCAGTTGGTTAAGAGCTCACTCAAGAGTGTGAGCTCTGAGCAACAGCGGTTTGATGCTCAGCCTGAGCTGAGCTGCTGCTGAGCTGCCAACAGGTGGCAGGATGGCTCAGAAAAAAAAAAAAAACAAAAACAGGTGAATGCAGTTCTACTTATACTAATGCCTCCTTTTAGTTCATCATTCAGCCAATCAACACATTTTTTGTTTAGAAAGTCAAGAAAATCCTTTAAAGGTGTAGTACTACAGCAGGTCCTTGAATAATGTCATTTCATTCAATTTTGTTTAATTATAACATTGATGAGAAAAAACAAATTGGATGCCTGGCTGGGGCCAC